GGACTGTGTTGTAAACAGGAGATAGGTGGTGTCCCATCTCTTCCCCTCTGTTGAGGGAGGGCTGTTCAATTTTAATATAGATGGCCCCTTTGAACCCTCTTTCAAACCAGTGCTCCCCTCTCTCCAGAATGGGGCAAAATGTAGGATTGTCAGGTCTGAAGAAAGGTTGACTCTCCAGAGGTGGCATTCAGCTGGTTCAAGCCGGTTCTGCCATACCAGGATCAGAAATTTTGACTGGTTCGGAGAACCGGCAAATACTACCTCTGGCTGGCCCTAACCTTCCCTGCCCCTTCCAAGAGTCCCCACGTGCCCCGTTTTTGCTCCCAGGGGGCTGCAGGGAGGCCTACTAGGCCCAAAACGGGACATGGGGGGGTGCAGCATGTGCCCCCTACAGCCCGTTTTTGCTCCCAGGGGGCTCCCAGGAGGCCTACTAGGTCCAATACGGGGCATGAGAAGGTGCAGCCCCTTCTGTGGCCCGTTTTTGCTCCTAGGGGGCTGCAGGGAGGCCTACTAGGCCCAAAACAGGGCACGAGTGGGTGCAGCACATGCCCCCCAAGGCCCATTTTTGCTCCCAGAAGGCTGCAGAGACGCCTACTAGGCCCAAAACGGGACACGAAGGGGTGCAGCATGCGCCCCCTACGGCCCGTTTTTGCTCCCAGGGGTTCCCAGGAGGCCTACTAGGTCCAATACGGGGCATGAGAAGGTGCAGCCCCTTCTGTGGCCCGTTTTTGCTCCTAGGGGGCTGCAGGGAGGCCTACTAGGCCCAATACGGGGCACGAGTGGGTGCAGCATGCCCCTCCCGTGGCCCGTTTTTGCTCCCAGAGGGCTACAGGGAGGCCTACTAGGCCCAAAACGGTGTATGGGGAGAGTACCTGCCCCCCCCCGCGGCCCGTCTCCCAGGGGGGTGCAGGAGACCAAGTGCTGCCCACCCTGGCTACGTCCACCCAGCCGGTCCTTAGAGCAGAGACTCAGTTGTTTAATTATTTGAATCCCATCACTGTCTCTTTCCCAAGAAGATGCCCTCCTGAAACCCAACCTCAGGAAGGAAGAGTCGCTTCACTTGAGGCCATGAGATCTCCTTGAGGCTCTCCTCGTCAAGTCTTCTGGCCTCAAAGTCAAGCCTGAACAATTTGCATTGCAAAAGAGGTGGCAATCTCATTGAAACCAACTATCTCTCCTTCTTCTGCTCTCTGGAAACCATCTGTAGACCTTATATGCAAAACCTGGAACCTTTGAAATGCAAAGCAGGGGCTGTGTCATTAAGCAATGAGACGGTTTCTCATTACCAATTAACCATTAACTCATATCATTAGTTCATTCGTTAAGAGTCTGCTGATCTCGCCACTGGAGAGTCTTTGTGACAGGCGATCTAGTTTCAGCATGAACAGCGATTGTTCGATTGTTTTAATTTGGGGGTTTGCATATTTATTCATTTTTTGTAGCCGTCCATCTCAGTCAATGTCTCTGGGTAGCTTATTAAAAAAAAAGTACTGCAATTTAAAAAAAAATAATTTTAAAACAATAAAAACATTTTAAATCATTAGAAGCAAAACATAACCCAAATACTTGGCCAGTTAACAATACAGGTAGCTCCACGATTTACTAACACAATTTGGGCCAAAGTTTATGTTGCTAAACGAAGCAGTTGTTAACATGAGTTCTGCTCCATTTTATGACCTTGCCACGGTTGATAAGTGAATCACTGCAGTTGTTCATTTGCTTGTCAGAAAATCACAAAATATGATCACATGACCCCAGGACACAGCAACCATTATAAATACATGCCAATGCCAAGTATCTGAATTTTGATAATCTTAAACATCTGGATGCTTCAACTGTCATAACTCTGAAAAACGGTCATAAGTCAGTTTTTAGTACTGTTGTAACTTTGAATGGTTACTAAACGAACGGTTGTAAGTCAAGGACTGCTTGTAAAGCCAGGATATAGGGCATCCATTCAGCTATTATAATTTGTAAGGTCTATTGGTGGTTTAGTGAGAAGAAACATCCATCCGGTTCAGTTGCAAGCTGGGAGAAAAGCACTGGAGACAAAACGGAGGCTGGAGGCTGATTGGAAAGACGGTTTAATGATGTAGGGGTCATCTAGGGGTCATAGCTGGCTCTGTAGGCAAAGTACAAATCCTAGGTATTTGTCTGAGCTACGTTTGGTTGAAGTTTGAACTGCTGAGATGATACAATGAATGAGGCTTGTGTTTTGAAAGGGTGCTGGGCAATTCCTATAATGGTTTAATGGCTTTGTCCTGGTTTGGTCTTGAGTGAGGGTATTTGCTTATGAATAGAGCTATCTATCTCTTTATCTTTTAAGTGCTGACATCTGCTGTGGGCTATTAAGGCAGGCAGAGACTGCTTTCTGTCTCTTAAGAGCTTGCTTCTCCATTTCTCATCCAGGGAAATATAATATTCTGCCTTTCTAATGTTTCTCAAAATTTTTCTAGGAGAGGGGTGGGTGCTAACTTTATACAGTTTAATAAAGGTGAACCCAGCTAATCTGGGTTTATTGGACAAACCCTAATAACACTAACCCTGATTTGGTACAAACGATGAAGCTGGGTCGCTGCCTAGCTGAGAATTTTGCGTAAAATTACAAGGACAGACCAAAAATTTATTTTAATCTGCTTAAGGGATTGATTATCTTTGCATAGCCCTCACTGTTTGCATAAAAACCTGCCTTTTTAAAAACTTTCCTTCCCGCTCCTTCACCCCAGACGGAATTTCGCTTTCTTGGGCAATTTCTCCCCACCCGACTCTCCTAGAAGGAGAGAAAAAAAAAGGGCTGGTGGGAGGAAGTTGTGTAAGAGAAAGGGAGAGGTTGTAAGAGGGAATGAGTAACAGGAAGAGAGAGTAGAAGGAGGCGAGAAACCAACCGAGGGAGGCCGGTTTTTATGCAAAGGATGTGGAGCGATAAATAAGAATTAAGAACACAGAGCAGAAAAGACTATTATCTGTAGCTGGTTATGAGTCACCGAAAAGAGGAAGGACAACATGCAGGCAGTTGAAGGTGGCAATGGGGGGGGAAAAATGAGGCCTTTAATGAGGACTAGAAGCATGGCTGAAGATCAACTGTGGTCTAACTTCATTCAAATATTCCAACACCCCCTTCCTTTCTCCCAAGGGACTTTACCTCCATCCCTCTTACCTTTCCTTCTTCCTGTTTTTTTTTTTTTTTTTTGAGGGGTGGGTGTCCCACATCACAAGAAAACACAACGTTTTGCTTTCTCAGAAAACCCTAAAGAGAGTTAGTTTGATGCAGTGGTTAAAGGCATCGGGCTAGAAACCGGGAGACCAGAGGTGGTCTTCGGCAGGTTCTGACCAGTTCTGGAGAACCGGTAGCGGAAATTTTGAGCAGTTCAGACAACCGGCAAATCCCACCTCTGACTGGCCCTGCCAACCCCATTTCTTCTCTGCCTCCCGAGTCCCAGCTGATTGGCTGGGTCTTCTTGTGTTGCCCTGCACGGGAGAATGGAGCTGGAAAGCAGGGTAGCGGGGTGGGGAGGGAATGGCGATTTTGAAGTGTCCTCCCCTTGCCATGCCCACCAAGCCACGCCCACCAAGCCACGCCCACAGAACCAGTAGTAAAAAATTTTGAATCCCACCCCTGTGGGACACCATGAGTTCTAATCCTGATGAGGCATGAAGCCAGTTGCTTGACTTTGGGCCGGTCCTTCTCACTCAGCCCTAGGAAGGAGGCAATGGCAAACCATTTCTGAAAAAAATAAATCTTTCCAAGAAAACGGAAAGGATTTGTCTGGGCAGTGGGCCAGAGTCAGCCCTGACTTGAAGCCACAAACACAAACACACACATACACACAAAATAAAACTTTGGGGTCCATTTCCCATTTGGAGGCCAGACACCTCCTTGTCCATCAAAATTTATACCTGGGGCTGGCACTTGGCTTCCCACTTTCAAACCTATGATGCTCAAATTCACCTGGGCAGGTATAAAGATTTAGAATAGAATAACAGAGTTGGAAGGGGCCTTGGAGGTCTTCTAGTCCAACCCACTGCTCAAACAGGAAACTGGATACCATTTCAGAGAAATGTTTCTGCAATCTCTTCTTAAAAACCTGCACAACTTCTGGAGGCAACTTGTTCCACTGATTAATTGTTCTAACTCTCAGGAAATTCCTCCTGAATTCTAGCTTGTTTCTCTCCTTGATTACTTTCCAACTATTGCTTCTGGTCCTGCCTTCAGGTGCTTTGGAGAATAGCTTGACCCCCACTTCTTTATGGCAGCCCCTGAGATATTGGAACGTTGCTATCATGTCCCACTAATCCTTCTTTTCATCAAACTAGACGTACCCAGTTCCAGCAACCGTTCTTTATATGTTTTAGCCTCCAGTCCCCGAATCCTCTTTGTTGGTCTTCTCTGCCCTCTTTCTAGAGTCTCAACATCTTCAAATGGGTTTGGTTTGGTTCAGCTAAATCTGACTTTTAAGAGACAATCATCTGCAACCAACACAGAGAGTTGAGAATCCAAGAACACTGAATTTTTGACATATTTTTATAGACTTTGCCTACTATACTGAGCAGAGTGATCAGAAATTATAGCCCGGCATGATTGAAGGGCACCTAAGTTGGGGCCATGAAGATACACAGTTCCTTGAGAAGACGAGAGGTTAATTAAACTTGAGAATCAGAAGATTACTAGAGTACATATGTCCCAAATACAAAAGCTAGGAGGAAGTTAGGTTGATAGTAATATGGAACTCAGAACAGGAAGTGGTCAAAAATACATGAAGATGGTGGCTGGAATGGATGACGAAACTTCTGGATGGAAAAAAACAGCCTAGAGCTTTGATCTTTCCTTCAGCGTCTTCTAGTCCAAAACCTTCCCCAAGCAGGAGATGGATAGTCCTCAACCTATGACCACAACTGAGCCCAACATTTGTTGCTAAGGCAGACAGTTGTTAAGTGAGTTTGGTTCCATTTTACAACCTTCCTTGTCACTGTTATTCAGTGAATTGTCACAGCTGTTAAGATAATAACACGGTTGTTAAGTGAATCTGGCCTCCCCATGGATCTTTCCTTGTCAGAAGGTCACAAATGGGGATCACGTGACCCCCCCAAGACATGGCAAATGCCATAAATACAGGACAGTTGACAAGCAATTGAATTTTGATCATGTAATAACCATGGGGATGCTGCCACCATCATGTGAAAAACAGTAACAAGTCACTTTTTCCAGTGCCATTGTAACTTTGAAGGGTCGTTAAATTGAATGGTTGTAAGTCAAGGACCACCTTTCCCATTTCAGTCAAATGGCTGTCCAATCTCTTCTTAAAAACCTCCAGTGATGAAGCACACACAACTTCTGGAGGCAAGTTGTTCCACTGGTTAATTGTTCTCACTGTCAGGAAATTCCTCCTTAGTTCCAGGTTTGCTTCTCTCCTTGATGAGTTTCCATCCGTTGCTTCTTGTCCTGCCTTCTGGGGCTTTGGAGAATAGCTTGACTCCCTCTTCTTTGTGGCAGCCCCCCAAATATTGTAAGACTGCTGACATGTCACCTCTAGTCCATTTCTTTGTTAGACATTTAGAGTTCCCAGAACCATTCATCATATTGTTGGAAGTTAAAACCCACCCCTCTCCTAGAAAAATGACATACTTTACGGTATATTAAAAAGGCAGAATATTTCCCCTAAAAGAGAAGTAGAAACTCAGCGAGGCAGATGGGCCATTCAGGCCTGGGGCAGCCTATTCTACATAACAAAGATCTACCTCCTTCTAGTTGCTCTTCATTGCAACCACCCACCAAGTTTCAGCCAAATGTAGCACACAAACGACCTACAAAGCTAGCTATGACCTCTGACAGCAACCAATCAGGAGGCTCTTCCTGTGCCCCAGGAAGTTCAAAGCCAGAGAGGATATAAAACCCAGGCACTCTCAGCATCTCTTCCCCTTTTTCTTCGCCCAAGAGCTCCAAGCCATGGGGTCCTCTGCCCACCATTAAACCATCTTTCCTAACAGCCTCCGTGTTTTCCAGTGTCTTTTTCCCCACTTGGAACTGAACCCCGAAGGATAATTCTTCCAACAATTTGTTTTAGCCTCCAGGCCCCTAATCATCTTAATTGCTCTTCTCTGCACTGTCTAGAGTCTCAACATCCTTTTCCTATTTTTTTTTTTCTCCTTTTGTAATTACCTTGTAATTTACAAGGCTAATTCACAGATACCTCTCCTGAGTCAGGTCTCTTCCATCCATCTTTCCCTGTGAGGAAATCTTAGGGCCAAACCAAATGCTTTCCCGCTCTTTGGCTACAGGAGAACAAAATCTATTCCCTACTTTGCCAGGTTTTGCAGAGATGGCTGGGGTATCTACAACAAAGATGGACATGAAATCAACCTGTCCAGTACGGTTCTTTTTTTTTTTTTCCATGCATCCATTCATTTGCTATCTCCTTTACACCTCCACACCACATCTGTTTTTACCAATGCTATATCTTTTTTTTTTTTTAATAAACAGGTATGAATATATATGTACATAATAAATGAGTAGGAATAAATGGGAAGAGTAGGACAGGGACCGTGGCCATGCTGGTGCACTTATGCACGCCCCCTTACAGACCTTTTAGGAATGGAGTGAGGTCCACGGTAGTCTAAGGTTAAAGTTTTGGGGGTTTGAGTAGTGGTAGGATTCAAAAAATTTTTTACTACCGGTTCTGTGGCTTGGTGGATGTGGCTTGGTGGGCGTGGCAGGGGAAGGATACTGCAAAATCCCTATTCTCTCTCCACCCCGCTAACCTTCTTTCCAGCTCTGTTCTCCTGTGCAGGGCAACACAAGAAGACCCAGCCGATCAGCTGGGACTCAATGGGAGGCAGCAAAGAGGGAGGGCCAGTCAGAGGTGGTGTTTGCCGGTTCTCTGAACTACTCAAAATTTCCACTACCGGTTCTCCAGAACTGGCCAGAACCTGCTGAATATCCACTTCTGGGTTTGAGGATGTGATAACAGAGTCAGGTAGTGAGTTCCAGGCGTTGACCACTCTGTTGCTGAAGTCGTATTTTCTGCAATCGAGTTTGGAGCAGTTTACCTTGAGTCTACTGTCCTGTGTGTTATTGCGATTGAAGCTGAAGTAGTCATTGAACAGGTAGGACATTGTAGCAGACGATTCTGTGTACTAATCTTAGGTTTCTGAGGTTTCAAAAACAGGCACTGCTGCATTTCTGACAGGCGTCCATCTCTGAAGTGATTTATTCTTGCAGCAAAACGAGTTCATCACCGAGAATTGTGACTCAGCAGGAATTCAGGTTCTCCCCTCCCATCTTCCTTTCTTTCCTTACCAGAAGAGTAAACAGCAACTCTTGGGTGTAGTTTTGCAGTTGCAATATCTGCTCCAGGTAGAACAAAGAGCAGACCAGCCAATCTCTCCTTTAAATGTCCTTTAATGCACAACCATAACAGAGCCCCAAATTTCCTTTGCTAACCCAGACAGTTGCTTACGTGAGTTTTGCCCCGTTTTACGACCTTTCTTGCCACCGTTGTTAAGTGAATCGTTGCCGTTGATAACACGGTTATTAAGTGAACCCAGCTTCACCCATTGCTTGTCAGAAGGTTGCAAAAGGTGGTTCGCCTAACCCTGGGACACTGCAACCATCATAAATAGGAACCAGTTGCCAAGCGCCCTTAATTTTGATCACATGATCCTGCGGGGTGTGTGTGCTGCAACGGCCGTAAGTGAAAAATGGCTGTAAGTCACCTCTTCCAGTGCCGCTGTAGCTTTGAACGGTCACTAAATGGTCCTCAACTTACAACCATTCATTTAGGGATGGTTTGCAGTTGCAACAACATTGAAAAAAAAATGACTTACAAGTTGTCGATCGAAATAAGATTTGGAAGGCAACTTGGAGGTCTTGTAGTTAAGGCCTTGAAAACCCTACCTGGGTCTTCCAAACCTTTGGTGTTACCCCCTCTGACCACGCCCAATTTAATGATTACTTTTTAGTTAACTGGTTATTATTTGGAAAGGACTTCAACCAAAGAAAATCTGACTCCTGAGTGTAACCTATTCAAGCCAGGTGTGCTAATGAGTTGATAGACGTGTTACTGTGTTTCCCCAGAAATAAGACCATTTTATTTTTATATTATATATATTTGCCACCAAAAATGGCACCAGGTCTTATTTTCAGGGGATGTCATCCACTGACTAACCTCATTTGTGCGTGTCACTCCCGGCCTCTTGTTTGCACATGCCTTCGGGAATTTCTTCTGAGGCTGGTAAGGCTTTCCTGAAGGCCTGATTGACCCGGAGTTTAACGGAAGGGAATATTTGTAGCTCAGGGTTGAAATGTGGGAGGAGCTTAGTTGGTGTCTTGTAGACATTTCATTGCCAGGTTCTATCAGTGCTTAAAAAACATTTTCTTAGAGTTTCATAGGTATACAGGTAAGGGAAATTGCCCAACCTTGATACAGGTAGTCCTCAACTTATGACAGTTCATTTAGTGACCGTTTGAAATTACAACAGCACTGAAGAGTGACTTACAACTGTTTTTCACACTTACGACCATTGCTGCATCCCCATGGACACAACATCAAAATTTGGATGCTTGGCAACTGGTTCATACTTATGACCGTTGCAATGTCCTGGGATCATGATGATCCCCTTTTGCGACCTTCTGACAACAAAATTGATGGGGAAGCCAGATTCACTTAACAACCATGTTGCTCACTTAACAGCTGCAATGATTCACTTAACAACTAAATGGTCAGAATGGTCGTAAAATGGGGCAAAATTAAAAATGTCTCACTTAACATAAAATTTGGGGTCAGTTGTGGTCGTAAGCCAAGGACTGCCTGTATTTTCTTCATTCCATGTTTCTTGACTTGAGCAATAAATGGAGATGATTATAAATAATCCCTCTAACACAAGCCCAAAACCTTCCTCCATGACTGCCACAGAGAAAGTAAGAAAAAGAATATATACTAAGCCTAATTAAAATGGCTACACATGTCAATTTTTGGCTTGACAGGCTGCCCTCCCTCATTTGAAAAGAAACCCCTGCAACAACATAAAATGCACATTGAAATTAGGTTAAAAACAAACATACAATGCACATTTTAACCTCCTCTGCCACCCACAGAATTCAGTTTTGGCTTGTGTGGATTATTTTTCATGGAATTTCCCCACTAAATCTATCAGCATTTACTTTTCAGCTATTAACCCAATTCGCTTGTGAAATTGGATAGCCTTTCCAATTGATTAAATATTATAACTCCCCCTGAAAATCCTAGAATCCAAAATTTTCTTAACCTCATAATATTCATGCCCTGCAATGAACAAAGGGGAATTCTGGGGGTTGAAGTCCACTGGTCTTAAAGTGGCCAAGGTTGGAGACCCCTGCTCTAACATACCGATGCAGTTTATATTGCTCTTTATACTTATATTGCTCTTTATATTGCTCTTTTATTCACCTCCTGCTTTCCCAGTGGATTCAAAATGTGAGGTGACTGTGTCCAATTTAAGGCACCTGCTTGGGAAATCTCTGCCACGCAAGGTTAAATAAGCGTTGTTGGTCTGGATCTCAAGTACCTTTCATGTACCTTTCAGTCAATTGCACTGAAGTGGATCCAAGTAAAATCCACTTGATCTCCAACAAATGGAAGGCGGGCGCCCTCTTGTGTCCGATCTGTATACAGGGTTCAAGGACCAAAATAAGATTTCACAGAATAAATTATGTGGGGTTGGGGCTTCTTCAGTCAGTCCATAGCTTGCATAAAAGTAACATGTCATGAAAAGGGAGCAAATATGAAGTTTTTCAACTCTGACAACTTTTAAGATGTGTGGACTTCAACTCCCCGAATTCCTTAACCGGTATGTCACCGTAGGGGAGCTGTGCTAATACAGGGAATCCTTGATTTATGACTACAATTCAGCTCCAAATTTCTGTTAATAAGTGAGACATTTAAGTGAGTTTTGCCCCATTTTATGACCTTTCTTAACAACCTTTCTGTCCACCATTAAGTTAATCACAGCAGTTGATAAGTTAGTAACATGGCCGTTAAAGTGAAATCTGGCTTCCCCATTGACTTTGCTTGTCAGTAGGTCGTAGAAGGGGACCACGTGACCTTGGGATGCAGCTACGGACATAAATATGAACCAGTTGCCAAGCATTTGAATTTTGATCACATGACCATGTGATCACATAACAAAAGTTGTTAACTATGAAAAATGGCCGTAAGTCACTTTTTTCAATGCCGGTCAGTAAACGGAACTGTTGTTGTAAGTTGAGAATTACCTGAATATGGCAGCCAGAAACCAATGAGTTGTAGTTTATAAGGCTTTATGTCTTTTTTGCAAGTCTGAAAAAGCGCAATTAGATAGCTTCAGATTTTTTGGTTTATTGTGTAGAAACAACACTAAGACTTGGTTAACGGTTGTGTTGCCAAATAGTCCAGTTGGCAAATGCCTGAATTTCTGATCCTTTGACCATGGTGGTGTTGTGATGGTCAAAAGTGTGTGAATCGATCATGTTATTTTATCCAGTATTGTAACTTCCAATGGTCACTAAATGAACGATTGTAAATCAAGGACTCCCCCTGCCGCATGTTTCAGACAAATGGTTATCCAATCTCTTCTTAAAAACTTCCAGTGGCAAGTTGTTCCACTGATTAATTGTTCTGTCAGGAAATGTCTCCTTTGTTCTAAGTTGATTCTCTCCTTGATCAGTTTTCACTCATTGCTTCTTGTCCTGCCTTCAGGTCCTGGAGAATAACTTGACTCCTTCTTCTGTGGGGCAGCCCCTGAGATATTGGACAACTGTTATCATGTCACCCCTAATCCTTCTCTTCATCAAACTAGACATACCCAGTTCCAGCAACTGTTCTTTATGTTTTATCCTCCAGTCCCCTAATCCTCTTTGTTGCTCTTCTTTGCACTCTTTCTAGAGTCTCAACATCTGTTTTACCTCATGGTGACCAAAACTGGATCCATTATTCCAAGGTCTTACCAAGGCCTTATAAAGTGATATTATCACTTCACGTGATCTTGATTCTATCCCTGTTTATGCAGCCTAGAACTGTGTTGTCTTTTTTGGCAGCTGCAACACACGTCTGGCTCATATTCCATTAGGACTCCATTAGGACTCCAAGATCCCTCCCAGTTACTACTATTGAGCCAGGTACCACCTATACTACACCTGTGCATTTTGTTTTTCTTGCCTAAATGTACAACCTTACTTTTTTCACCCTTGAATTTCATTTTTGTTACATAGCGTCCCCATGTTCAAGTCTGTCAAGATGCTTCTGTATCTTAAGCTTATCTTCTGGCGAGTTGTCTGCAGATTTGATGAGCCCCCCACGTATGTTGTCACTGTAGGAAGAAAAATTAGTATGCACACAGGCAGGGCTCATAAATTAATAACTATATTTAGTACAAAACATATAAAACCAGGAATGTAGAAAATATGGATGCTGATGAACGAAAAAAGACCTTTCTCTAATCATTGATGGTGTCTGATGTGATCCAAAGCTGAAGCCCATTAAACGTACTTCACTGTCATTAAACAGACTTCCTCCATTGAAAATGTGCAGTTTATAAGAGAGGCTCCACAGGTATGGAAGCTCTGGCATTTGTAAGGCACTGCAGAATCCGTGTCCTTCGTTGAGACGGGTGCATGGAAGATTGACCTCATCGGAGTCTTCTTGGTCCTCTTGGGAAAGGCACCGAGTCCTTATGTGCTTTGGGAAATCAGAGGCTGCTGTAGCTGGCAATCACTTGTTCCAAGGTGGTGAAACAGCCCAGGAAGTCATCTTCCTCAATCCCAAATTTTGAATACTGGTGAATGTAAGCCCTGCGTGGAATGAACAAGAGGTTTTGGTGAGCAAAAGCACCTATCATCATCATCATATTTTAATGACCTCCATAATCCCTTGCGAGTGTGGAGTCTGAGCAACTGAATAGAGCAAGCAGAGTGTTTTACTGGCTAGGTGCTCTTCCTGTCACCAATGCAGAGTTTTTGTTCAGCGGTGTGCCCAGAGAGAAATATCGGTCTCTACCTAGGATCAAACTCACAGCCTCCTGATTGTGAGGCGAGGGCTCCACCTCTAGGCCACTGCACCACTTGACCAAGAGAGCCTGTCCCAGTTCAAATTACCCACAGCTCCTTGGAAGGGAAGTAATGGGACATCAATTAATTGTGGGCAAAGTACATCCTATAACCTATGGCACGCATGCCCAAAGTGGCACATGAAGCCATGTTGCCTGGCACGTGCGACCTTGCCTATTTGTCTTCCAGGTTTCTGGCACGCATGGGCACAAGACCATCAGCTCTCCTTCGTGTGTGCGTCAGTGCCAAAAATTGGCCTGTGCATGTACGCTGGCCGGTTGATCGGTGGGCGCGCAGGAGCACTAGAACCCAGAACTTTGGCTTTTCTGGAGTGTGGCCCCAAGGAGCATGCATGTGCCACGTTTTCATCCGACCTTTTCAGCGCTCGGTGCTGAAAAAGTTTGCCATCGTTGTCATATAATATATATGGCTATGTGGGTATATGCATAATTTTTATTGATTTATCCTGTCACGTTTATGTGGAAGTAGTGACCCTTTGAGAGCTGTATGCAATGAAATTTTATTATAACGTGTGCCTAGTGTGCATTTAAAGTGACAATAAAGTTCATTTAAGTCTAATACAGGTTATCCTCAACTTAAAACTGTTCACATAGTGATCGTTCGAAGTTACAACAGCACTGAAAAAAGTAACTTATGAAACTTTTTCACACTAGTGACCGTTGCAGCATCCTCATGGCCATATAATCAAAATTTAAATGCTTGGCAACTGACTCATATTTATCACTGTCACAATGTCCCGGGGTTGTAGTGACTCCCTTTTGTGACTTTCTGACAAGTGAAGTCAGTGGGGAAGCCAGATTCACTTAGTAACCAGGTTATTAACTGAACAATGTCAATTCATAAAAATATTTCTATGGACTTTTTAGAGCTGCCAATAGAAAGGGAGGGGGGGGGAAAGGGGTTTGGAAAGAGCAGTGCGGCTGCTTGGAAATCGAAAGTGCATTCCATAAATGTTTTCAAAAATAGTAACTAGGTGACTGAAGTTTCTGCTACACAAAATTCTAACTGGAGAACATGATTGATTATTCTTGGCTATGGATGTGTCCCATTGGAGAATATGAATTACGATACACCCAGAGGGGTGGGGTAAAATCAGGGTCAAGGGTGACAATGAATTATGTTTCTCAGAGTTGGCTACACCAGGCGGTGCCAGACAGTTTAACTCCCCATAAATCCTTTTGAAGTTTTGGAAGTTTGGCTCGAGACTCATGATTTAATCGGGGGTAACTGCCGGAATCCTGATAAACAATTGCAGTGATTCACTTAACGACTGTGGCAAGAGAAGTCGTAACATGGTGCAAAGCTCACTTGTCAAGTTTCTCACTTAGCAACATAATTTGGGAATCGATGATGGTCGTAAGTCGAGGACCACCTGTACAATGTTTCTTGCCAAGTTGTTAAGTGAGTCACTGCAGTTGCTAAGTCGGTTGTTAAGTGAATCTGGCTTCCCCGTTGACTTTTCTTTGTCAGACAGTCGCAAAAGGGGATGATCGCATGACTCCAGGACACTGCAACCGTCATAAATGTGAGCCCATTGCCAAGCATCTGAATTGTGATCACATGACTCTAGGGATGCTGCAATGGTCGTAAATGCGAGAAATGGTCCTTAGGCGCTTTTTTCAGTGCCGTTATAACTTCGAACGGTCACTAAGCAAACTGTTGTAAGTTGAGGACTACCTGCATTTTAATGTGCTTTCCCTGATTCCACTCCCACCAAAACTGTCAGGACATATTGGCCGACAATTAAAAAAAAAAGGGAATTTAATTCTTCTCGACTTACTTGGAAGCGAACATTTTCCAAGCCTTCCCCACGAGGCTGTTGAGCGGACTGAGCAGAAACTGGCTGTTGCTGACCAGAGAGGCGGACTTCTCGTACTTATTGAAGGCTCTGGGGGTGTTCCAGATGCTCAGGGTCTCTGGAGGATTGAGCCAGGAGGTGTACAAGGCTGGATCCTGGAAACCCCCTGCAAGGGACAAGAAAGGGATGCATCAGAACGGAGGATTACAGGCAGTTTTCGTCTCCTCCTCCTCCTCCTCCTCCTCTTCTTCTTCTTCTTCTGACCCCATAATCCAGGGGTCCCCAACCACCGGGCCCTGGACTGGTACCGGTCCATGGATCATTTTGTACCGGGCCGCAAAGAATGAATAACCGTGATTAAAATATATATATAAAAATATGTTTTTGCTTCCGGGTGTCTTATTTTGAAAGACAACCACTTCAGAAACAGAGTTCACTGGAGAGGTTTTTTGGAAAGGGTAAACGAGACAACGATGAAGCCATGAAACCATCAAAACGCCACATGGAGTGCACGCCACATGGAGACAAAACACCCAGCATTGATTAAGGTTTTGGTTATTGGAACCTTCACGCCCCTACCCGGTCCTTGAAAAAGTGTTTCTGCATGAAACTGGTCCCTGGTACAAAAAAGGTTGGGGACCGCTGCCATAATCCCCTGCAGAGACGCAGTGGCTCAGGGGCTAAGATGCTGAGCTTGTTGATCAGAAAGGTCGGCAGTTCGACGGTTCGAATCCCCAGCGCCACGTTATGGAGTGAGCTCCCATTACTGGTCCCATCTACTGACAACCTAGCAGTTCAAAAGCATGTCTAAAATGCAAGTAGAAAAATAGGAGCCACTTTGGTGGGAAGGGATCAGCGTTCCATGCGCCTTCGGGCATTTAGTCATGCCGGCCACATGACCACGGAGACGTCTTCGGACAGCGCTGGTTCTTCGGGTTTGTCACGGAGATGAACACACCGCCTCCTAGAGTCAGAAATGACTAGCATGTATGTGCGAGGGGAACCTTTACGTTTACCTTATCCCTTGCAAGATGGAGTCTGGGCAACTGAATGGAGTTAGTAGAGTGTTTTAATGGCAGGATGCCCTTCCTGTCGCCAATGCGGAGTTTTTTGTTCAACAGACACATTCTCAGTGTGCCCAGAGAAAGAAATATCTGCCTCTACCTAGGATCGAACTCACAGCCTCCTGATTTTGAGGCGAGAGCTCTACCTCTAGACCACCGCACCACTTAGCGACCATAATTGAGATTGCAGCTGTCAT